GGAGCTAGGTTTTGAGCAGATGAAGTGTGCAGCTTGGTGCTGTACCACTTAGTAGGTTTCTGCTTTACTTTTCACTTATTGTGATTTCTAATACGCAGTGCTTTTATTATTTCTCAGCTCTCCCATCTTCATGCTATCTGCCCTCCCAAGAGCTTAAGAGAGAGTGTAAATATGTTCTTCCTTTTTTTTCTTTCTTTTCTTCCATTTATATTTTTCCTTTCTCTCCTGCTTTCTCTCTTTTTTTTCCTCCTGCATACCTTCCATGCATACCCCGGGATGTGTGTACCCAAGTTTGAGAAACAATAATCAGTGTGTGACACGGGATACCAGGCAAGATGGACCTATGGGGTCTGACGCAGTAAACGGCAATTCTTACGTCTTTAATGGAGTATGTCTTTTAATAAAAGTAGCAGTAGAAGCTATGGTAAAACAAGACTGAACAACACTGCAATTGACCTGTGCTCCAGGATCAACTAGTTGACCTAACAGGCTATGTTTAGATTCCACTTTCCATCTCTAGATTTTATAATGCTGCCCCCCACCCGCCCTCAACTGCTGTCTGGCCCTGCCACTTGTCCTTCTATGCCTGTGCCTGCCCCCAGCTGCCTGTTCCCCACCCCTTGTGCTTCTGTGGCTGCCTCTGCCCACCACTCCCTGCTTCCCCCCTGCAGCCTGCCTTCGACCTGCCGCACACTGTGCGCACACTTATCTTCTGATGCAGCTCTACTCTTCTGGGGCAGTCAGCAGCAGCATGGCCCTGGCCTGTCCAGAGAGAAGCAGTGGTAGTTCCAGTTAGGGCCTAGTTGGAGCTGGAGTGACTGGAGCCAGAATAGAAAGTAGTGGGGCAAGGGGACAAAAGGTGGAGAGGAAGGCACAAGCAAAGGGGAAGCCTGCAGGTTTCCCCCTCGCCCCATGGTTTCCCCCTACACTACCTCCAGCCGCATGCCACCAAATGAGCCATTCCAGCTCAGGGCAGGCAGTGGTTTAGCTCTGGTTTTGGCTCCAAGATCAAGCTAAAACTGGAGCCGAGCCACTGCTGTTGCCACCTGTCCCAGGCAGGTACTCTAATCCAAGATGAGGCATTTTATTCCTCTGTGCTGGTTGGGGGGAATAAAACCTCATCTTGGATTCAAGTAAATATGGTGTATATGTATTAATGGAGGGAGAAAAACTGACCATATATTTAAGAAAGAAAGAAGCACACATTTTTTCTTTTCAGCCTGATTTAACTCCAGATGGAGCTTTGTTATGTTTAATTTTATTTTAACCTAAAATAGTAACTTTGAGGCCAGATGAATGTTTTGTTTTAAAAGTGTGATAAATAATAGGGGCTGTTATTTGAACTACTTTCCAACTTTCACTGTAATATCCAAAATTATACAGCATGCTACTAAATTCATTTGTATTTTCCCACACCATGGGCTTACATTGCCATCACCTTGATGCAGTTGTCAAACATTCCCAAATATCTGTGATCTAGTTACTTGCTACTGATTTCATCTTACAGAGGAATTCATCCTGATGTTTCTATTTTAAAGTTTTAATTAAACAAATGCTTAATTAGTTATCTCTAGTGTGATCTCCTTTGCCACCATTCTTACAAAAATCTTGGCAATGGTTATGACTATTGTTGTGCTGAGACTACTGTTTGCTGATCAGTATTGCCACTTTGCTTCCTTGTTCTCTGTTGTCTGTATACATCAGTTGTCTCTTTTTTTATACTTAAATCCTGTCCAAAATAACTTAAAATCTATATTGTTGGTCTATTTTGCACACAGTGTTGAGCACACTGGAGTTTTTATCTGTGACTGTGGTTCCTAGGTGCCATCATTTTTAATAATAATTTCAGTAAGATAATATTTGAATTCAGGGGGACAGAATTTGGCTGTACTAGAATATAACACTCCTGGCATTAAATGTCTGGATGAAATATAATTAAAAATATTACCTTGTAATTGTTTGGGCGCATCTACATGTGCATTAACCCACTTTAGTTAATGCGCATTAAATCTAATACTTCCATTGTGAGGTATGAGGAAAATGTGTGTTTGTCTGTCTTAATGTGCATTAACTAAAGAGCATGTTTTTTTTAAAATGATGCTTAATGTGCATTAGCCTGTTTTAATGCACATTAACTAAATAGCATGCTTTTTAGTGATGCTTCAGTATGCATTAAAATAGGTTAACTAACGGGCATTAAAACACACATGTAGACACCCCCAAAAGCTGTTATTGTTGATATGTACATATCAAGTATTTTTCTGTATTTTCTAGTGCCGATTTTGTGAGAAGGCTTTTATGAACTATTCCTTTCTACAAAGTCATATGCAGCGGCGCCATCCAGAGGAATCTCACACTGGTATGTATTTTCATGCTGTCAAAAAGTTAAAATAGTATGGAAATGTAGAACATATATTTAGGCTTGTAACTCAAGATTCTGTATAATGTAGAAGAAGCTCATTTGACTTAGAGATCCCAGGGCAAGTTTTTATATCTGACCATCAGATTTATTTCTTTGCATGTAAGCATATCAAATGTGATTATATAAATTACTGGACAATAATAAGCATAGATTTTTATGCCATGTTTAGAGTTACTTTTCAAACCAAAATCTTACAGAACACTTTGCCAGTGGGAGAATTCAGAGCAATGGTTTTCTTTGGGTAGATAAAATTTGCCATATTACAAAAATATGGGTAGCATAAATAGCTGGCATTATGGGGGGAAAAAAACTTTACTGATATGCATTGAATTATCACTAGGACCAGTCCAGTTCCATTGAAGTCAATGAGAGCTGGATCATGTTTGTAATGAATTACTCCTGGCTATATGATACAACTATAAGAAAGAATTCTATTGCTGAGCAACCATTTCATCTAGCTTCCCCTGAGATGGTGTTACATTATTTTCATCTTATTTTAAAATAATGTCTTGTAAACAACATTCCTGACCAGGAAGTGAAGTTATCTCAGGATATGTTAACTTCAAGTAGTTGAAGGTGCTTGGCTTTTGTCCTTGTAACTCTAAACATTCTTAGAACACAGCACAGAACATTGGTAGCATCATTTTTCCTATAGGGGAAGATGCATATATGAAACATGGTTTTTTTATTGGTAATATGAATGATAGATTTGTGGAATTTGTTATTTGGTGCCTTCCCAGCCATCCTAGAAACAAATATACAGTTTGAAAGACATTCCTCACATATTTGCTTCATTTACCCCTACAAACATAAATAATAATTTTCACACTGTTAAACTGAGGTTAACAGATGATTCATTTGCTGCTGGGAGCTGGAATCCTTCACCATGGAAGAAATGTCAGTGAAGGACAAGTAGATATGCTGAGCAAGAGAAACTGATAGCAGTGAAGACAAAGTAGCTTGGGAAGAGTTGGTTAGAAAGAAAGAACAGCTGGGTTCAAAAGAAATGGGAGTAAAGAGACACAAATAGTGGGTTAGCAACAGGGTATGAACTGTAGTTTGAAAGACCAGATAAAATACCAGAAACCGTGAGGAGGGAGTATAAGAAGGCATTGGTAAATCATTAAAAGAAACCGTTTCATGCTTTGTAGCAGGTTGGAAAGAGAAGATAAGAGGAGGAAATGCAAAGCCAGGCAACCGGGACTGATTTTGTACTAACAATTGCTGTGTGAAAGGGGTTCTTTAACTCTTCGGGGGTAATCCTGGATGGCCTGCTTTGATACCACTGTGACAGGCAGGAGAAGGCTGAGAGGGGATCTTGTGGCTGTCTACAAATTCATCGGTGGGGACAATAAGGGACAGGAGATGTTCCATTTACCAGGTCACCCCTTGGAGTAACTAGAAATAACAGCCACAAACTAACAGAGAGTAGAGTCAGGTTAGACATTAGGAAGAACTTATTTACGGTAAGGGTGGCCAGAATCTGGAATGGGCTTCCAAGGGAGGTGGTTCTCTCCCATACATTGGGGGTCTTTAAGAGGAGACTGGACAAGCACCTGGCTGGGTCATCTGACCCCAGTGCTCTTTCCTGCCCGAGTCAGAGTGTCAGATTCAATGACCTGCTGAGATCTCTTCCGACCCCAATATTTATGAACTTTATAAAAATGATATAGGTAGTTAGAGTGGCACATGAAAATTAAAGGCTACACTTTTGAGTGTACATTGTAAGCTAATTTTTGATGGTGATCTTTCCAATGAAACTTGGAAATGGAAGTTCCACCAAACGCTCTCTAAAGAAGCTAGACATTTACTGATAAAAGAAGCTGCCTATATTAAATGTTAAATTTATCAAAATAAATCTTACAGAAACCCCACTTCATTCCTTTTTTGAACCTGTGCTGTAAGTGAAATTGGATTTTATAACACTTACAAAGTATTTTAAGTTCTAAAAGATACTAGAATCTTTTACATGTTGCATTTTTGGTAAGATTGTGGTGTTCAATCTGTGGAATGCATCGTAGTAGTCGGGAAAATGTTTTATTTCAAGAACTAAGTGTTTGGGGTGGGGTGGAATTAGGGAAAGAGCTGGTCTAGGAGAGTTCTGGTCCACAGAATTTAAAGAAGGATGAAGCACTGGAGAAAGGCCTTTGCAGGAAATCACATTTCCCAAAAATATAACTAACATTTTGCAAATGTATGTTTCTTTCAAGCAGAGCAAAAGAAGAAAGCACAGACAGATAAATTACAGGATGAGATCAATAAGTTGAAGGAGCAGTTACAGCTCACCAAGTCTGAGCTAGAGGCCGAGCAACATGCTAATATGGTCAGATTTTCTAAGGTAGTATACACTAAGTATTACCAACCTTTTACAAGAATCTGTATTCTGGGCTGTGATCACAGACCTCGTAACTTTTGTGTAAAATTTAATTTTAGCAGAATTTTAACAGGAAGGATATATAATGCCCTGCCCCTCCCATTTTATAACCTGGTATTTAAGGCACTATCTTGGAAAGTGGGAAATACAGTTTTGAGCTTCTCTGAGCCAAACTCAGTATTCCCAGCATGCCTAATGAGTCCTGTCCCTGCTGAGGCTTAGAAGCTTCCCTAACTCCAGTGTCAATCACAGTAAATGGTAGGTGGGGGAAAGTGCATAGGGGATCAAACTGTATTGCTCTAATCAGAAGTCTGGGTACCTAGAGAATTTTGTAGTCCAAAATAGATATCACTTTAATTTGAGTATTTGCTGAGTTTTGTGACTGTGAAGTGGGGCCAGTCTGGATTGCTCTTTGGGCCTGGGACACCTATATTCCACCTTGGTCCCATGTAGGTGTCTGTGTGGCTAAAATGGGTCTAGGCCTTAATGTATAGATACTGTGCTGATTTGGTATGTAGCTACAGCACTGTAAATGCACGTAGTGGTCAAAAATATTCCTAGTCATGAAAAACTTACTGTCTACCACATGAGATAATGGTTTAGGGAGGAATGACAAGAGGCAAGGGCTATTACTTCAGCTTTTATGTTAGATTTGAACACTATGTGATCATCAGGGATCCTGGTTTTCTCTGATTAAAAAAAAAAAAGTCCCCAATTTCCAGATTTAAAAAGTAACCCCAAATCCACATTTTTATTTTCATTTTTTATATATATTGTATATATTAGTGCTTCATTTTAATCATGGAAAAATGTGGATTTTTGGGTCACATTTCTTAATCTGAAAATTGGGGATTTTTTTTTTAATTGGAGAAAACCAGGACCCCTAGTAACCAGTCTACAAAAGGACTTGAGTAGCCTTAAAGCAAGTACAGTCTCAGCCACTGGTGAGGTTCAATGAGAGATGAAACAAAAGTTTAGAGTGAAATAATTTAA